TGACCACCTTTTAAATGATGAGTGTAGTTTTAAACGTTTAGAGTGTAAGCTGAAAATTCACAACTGACCTCAGAAGAGAGGGTGAGATAGAAGATACCGTTCATGAAGGGGCTGGAAGGAAATGAGATCACAAAAGGGCAGCATATACGGAGGGTGTGTGCCTCTTTCTGAATGTGAAGGTGTGTAGTTATCCTATGCCTTTCCTGATACTATTGGGTAGTTGGGAAAGTCATGATGCATTTTTGCATTGAAACACATAGAAAAATACATCATGACTTTTCCAAGGACCCAATATATGTTTGGAGGTCGGGGGAATTAATTCTTCTCTTTAATTCACAACAAAAATAGAGAGAAGTGGTACTCAAGGAGCTGTACCCAAGGAGCCACAACCAAGGAGTCTAAAGAGGGCCACCTTTGTGTCAACTGAAGGATGACATTCTCTAAATAACCTTTCTAAAACCTCAAGAGGTCAGTTATCAATACATAGTGTTAAGTTAATAAATATTCTCTCCAAAGCAAACTGAAACTCTTTGAAGCGGCAAATCATTAGTGGACGTGAAAAGCCACTGTGATTGTAGAATCCCTTTTCCCAGAAATCACGCATGGTTATCAGTATACATTTTGTTCTTGTATTAAAATGGGGTAGGAGAGTAATAGGAAAATTGACGTTTTAGAGGCTTAATAGGGAAAATATATGTAAATGACAAACATAAAATTCCAACTTCATGGACTATAATTGTGTTTTAGAAAAAAAGCTCTATAAAGTATTTCAAACCAAAGCCACAGGAATATAAGAGTTTACTGAAGTTTAGAAGATTATGAAAGCCTTTGAAGATGATCAAAATTAATCATCTTCCTTTCCTAAGTCCAAGCAGAAGTCTCATTTTCCAAAATCATATTCTACAGTCAGGCACGAATGACCAGGCAGAATACTACCATGTCCAACAAACCAGTTACCTCTACTTCTAAACCATGCAGCTCATCATCTACTTCACAGACACAAGAACACACTTAAAACACTTCCAGTTGTTTTGAGTGCAAGCTTCCAAGTTGAAGCTGCTCACATCATGGTGTGCCTCAGAGCCGGATTACAAGACAGGTTTAGTTAACTTTGTTGAGATGCCAGTTTAAGCACAAAACATACACAGACCTTTAATGTTTTTGATTATTGTATAAGTAGAACTTTTCTTATTTTTAGAATTTGCCATTTGACTCTTCAATTAATTTTCATTCCAAATGAAGCTTTATCATTTTTATATACTAAGTAAAAGGTTTTTGTGAGCTGAAGAATAATTTGATCCATCTAAGCTAAAGCACAAAATGAGTCTAGATAGTACTGACCTTAAAAAAAATATTAAACTACTTTTGTCTACGTGGAAAGAGTATTGACTCGGGTTCTCTAATGTTTATAAAGGAAACCATTAACAAAAGGGCTCATATTATACACATAAAAGGAAAGATGAGAAAGAGAGGAGCAATAACTAACCCAATAGCAAATAAGTTAATTAAATTCCCTCTCCCACCCAAGAAGAAAATGTGTAGAAAGTATAGGCATCAGCAATATTCCCACCCCTTTTTCAACTTTTACAAAATTAGGTATTCTGCTCCCAAATGTGTAACTGCGGAGTGCTTCACCAACATTTTCAATCTTAACTTACTACAGTCATGTTTAGCATCTTACTAAAATTGAAATACACATTTTAAACTTTTCACATTTAATATATCAACTTTAAGGAGAAAACAAAGACTAACACTTGTAAATATTTTCCAGTTTAAAAAGTATTTTCACATATATCATCTATTACTCTGAAGGATTCACATTTAATAAAGAAAGAAACCGTGCCCTTAGGGAGGGTAGATGACATGTCGTAAGTAAACTAAAGGGATAAGTTTGGAACTAGAAGCCCAAGCTCTTAGTTTAACACATACATTTTCATTCCCTTTTCTAACTGAAGGGCCAGGTTAACAAGTCATTTTACTATGGATTTCCAATGTAAAACCATACATAATTAGCTATGATAAAAAAAAGACTTGATATACATATTCACTAAACATGTATCTGAAAACCAAATAAAACTATCCCATTTTAACAAGCGCTGAAAAATGCGAATGAATTTGCAGTCACTACAAAGTTGAATGTATTTTTCAGTGTTTACACATTTAAAAATGCGCCCATGGTTAGCCAAAGAAATGTTTTAACATAATTTATTTTTATTTAACATGACTCTTTCTTAAAAACTTTAAGACCGCATATACACTTGACAAAATAATATAATTATTAATTTCTATTACATCTTGATTTAAATGCCTATTGCCTAAAGGGGGGGAAACATGCAATTTTAGTAGTTTCCTGTTAATTAACGAATTGTGAAATGGGCCAATTTTTTATCCACAGTGCCCTCTACTGGTAGCTACAGAGGTTCTAATATGCTTACTACAGGAGGGTAGATCAGTTTCTCTAAGTGTGGTCCCCCATCACCTGCACACAAACCCCCCAGAAAGCTTGTTAAAAACACAACTTCCCTCCTTTACAACATATCTCCAGATACTGTGATTTCAATAATTCTGGGGTAAGATCTAGAGCTCTGCATTTCTAACACGTAAGTGGACAATTCCTGGTTTGGGTGGTACGCCGACTTGACTTGACTTTCAAAGGGCAGTAAGTTTATGTAAAGCTCTGGGAAGGCCTCATTATGCCTGTTTGTGGAGGAAGACTGAGGCTCAAGACCATTCACCCCAGGTCCCGTGATAAAAAGCAGCACAGCCACTAATATTTTTTCTTCCTGGAGGTATATGTCCTTAGAGGAAATATTAACAAAATTGTATCAGCCTGAAAATCCAAGTGTTTACTTATTTACAGACAGCTATGTAGGCAGTACATATGCAGCAAATCTCAACCCTGGCTCCCATGAGAATCACCGGGGAGTCTGGGAAAATGCTTATGTCCAGGTCCCAGTTCCAGAGATTCCGATTTAATAGGTTTAGGGTAGGACCTGGACATTGTTCTCTGTTTTAAAGCTCCCAGATGATTATAATCAGCCAGCAGGGTGATTATAAGTGGTGCTTGGCCTGAGCGCTCAGAACCAGCTGAGGACACAGACTGCTGGGCCCCACATCCAGAGCTTCTGATTCAGCAGGTCTGGGAGGATTTGAGAATTATACTATATTTTTATAAGTTCCAGGAGGTGATGACGATGCTGGTTCTGTGACCACACTTTGAGAACTGGTGGTTAAACATAGTTGGCTAGGGGTTCTCAACCTTGCCTACACTTTAGAATTGCCTGGAGAAATTTTTAAAATCCTGATAGGCTGGCACACCCTCAGACCAATTCTATCTGCATCTCACCGGTACGGGACCCAAGCATCAATATGTGTACAGCTCCTAAAATTTAGAAAGGCTTCTCTACAGCAAAGGTTTATAAAACCCACTTGATATATTCATGGATACGCATACATATAGTGATTTTCCAAGAGGGTAGGATAGTATGCAATATTTCCAAAGCTTTCTGGACAAGAAGCACTTTTATCAAGGCATACAATGAAAAGCTCTGAATGTATAAACTGCTAGCCTATGGGATAAGAGCTTTGGGCGGCCTACAAGACATTCCCCTCTAACCTCAATCCAGCCTCATCTTTTGCCAAACCCTTCCTCCCTCCACCGCATAGGTCCCAAATAAAATATCAGTAACCCTCTACTGCAACCATCTATTTTAATGTGACTGTTTGCACTCTTTCTACAAGCTCTTCGGAGTCAGAGGTGGCATCTTATTATCTTTGATTCCCCGGAGCCCAGAATGATGCCTAGCATAGCTGGTGCTCCACACACATTTGCTGAGTAACTGGATACAGACTTATAGCCCCACCGTCTGTAGAAAAGGCAGGGTCATCAAGCACGGCTTTTATGCAACCAAAGGATGCAACAGCTTTTACGTAGCTAAAATCAGAATCGAATATTTCTCCCTCCTAGAGCTGCTCTTATTTAATACTGCTTTAAATAAAACAGGGACTGTGTGCACTTAGAAAAGATATGTGACTTGCCTTGGGATCTGCCACATATTCAAATTATTACAGTAACAGGGTGGCAAAAAGATTTGGTAATTTTTTTTTTATTCTACGAGTCATTTAGCTAACTGTGATCCAAAAAAAAGGTGCAAACACTTTATGTATTAACAGTGAGATGAAGTTTCCAAAAACCCTTCAAGAGAAAAGGAAAAAAACAAAACAAAACCCCTAACTACTATTGTTTGGAAAATCCAAGTTTTTCAATCTTGGACATACTAAAATCAAATCACTTTTGGTTTTGTTTTTTCATTTATAAAGAACAGCATTCTTCTGTTAGCAAGCTGCACATCTAATCCAAGCCAAGCAGTTTTGATGTATATCCAAAAAATTGCAAGATTAAGTGTAGTATTCTCCTTTAGCATCACAAAAGAAAACATTTGACTTCATGCTATAAAGGTGCCATGGCACATTCTACAGCTTTCTGGCACTATGTTTTCTACATGCTTCACAAGTATTTAAAATAATCCCATATGTATAAGTCTCAAAACATCGCAAGACTACATTGCTTCTCAAACTTTTTCAGTTTATAGTACTGTGAGACTGTCTTGGAGAAAATTAATCTCATGTTAGCAAATATTACCATATATTTGTTTTTAATGGGCAGCGATAATTACCTCAACATATATTTATTTAATAAGTAATTACTGAGTGCCTATTATGTGCCAGGCACTGTTCTAGGAGCTACAGTTAATAAAGAAAATAAAGTTTCTTATGAAGTTTATAATCTAATATATTTTTTCCCAGAAAGGAAAAAGTGGAACATTCTTGTGGTCCAAACTAGAAACACGATTCTTCGCAAGGGAGGGGGGGAAGAGTTAAATCGAAAAGCCATTAGTTTATAAAACTTGCTGGAAGATTCCCAGCAACTCTGAAAAAGCTGATAAGACTAGAAAAAGAGAAAAGTAATAAATAAAACTTTAAAATTAATTTATGATTACCTCTGAATTCCTTCAAGAATATCCTTCACAGCTGCCATTAACTTTTGAAGATATATAAATGCTTCTTCAAATGATGCTATTTTTGAAGAAGTCAGAGCTGAATTTGAGCCCAATCTTTGAAATACATCTGTGCTGAAATAGAGAAAAAGAAGATACTCATAGGTACACAAGAATATTTACTATAATTAAAGTATTTTCATTTCTAATCTTTTAGATTAGATTAGATTTTTGTATAAACTAACTCATATTTATAACTCATCTCTCAGAACGCTGATGTATTTAAGCTGAATTGTATCCTTCTAAGTGTTTTACAGTTTTAGCTCTTATATATCCATTTTGAGTTAAATTCTGTATGTAATATAAGGATGGGGTCCAACTTCATTCTTTTGCATGTAGTTACTGAGTTGTCCCAGCACTATCTGTTAAACAGACCATTCTTTCCCTATTGAACGATCTTGGCAACCTTGTCAAAATCAACTGACCACAGACGTATGTGTTTATTTCTGTACTTTGAATTCTACTCCACTGATTTATGTGTCTATATTTCTGCCAGTAGCACAGTTTTAAATACTGTAGCTTTGTAGTAAGTTTTGAAACAAGGAAGTGTGAGTCCTTCAACTTTCTTAAGTCTTCCTATCAATGAACACTGGATTTTTCCATTTATTTAGGTCTTCTCTAATTTCTTTTAGAAGTGTTTCATAGTTTTCAGTGTATAAATCTTGCATCTTCTTGATTACATTTATTCCTAAGTATTTTATTATTTTTGATAATGTTGGTAGAATTGTTTTCTTTACTTGCTTTTCAGATTGTTCATTGCTAGTGTACAGAAATACCACTGGTTTTGTGCATTTATTATTTTTAAAATAAAAACCATAAACTTAAAAATATTTCTTTAAAAAATTTTTAAACATTTAAAGCCTAAACATCATATGAAATTTGAAAAATTCAGGACTGTTTCTAGAAAAAAGAAAATATGTAATGTAATCCACCAACTAGAGATAGGCATTATTAAAATCCATGGAGTATTAATCACTAATAACATCTGACACTCAGATTCCTCAAAAATAGAAAAGACACAAAAATCTCACCTGGTGTGCTCTAAGTTTACAACTGATTACTGAACCACAAGAAGAACTCAGAACAAGAAGATGCCATTTACAATTGTGCATAAGTGCTCTAATACTTTCAGATGAGTAATCGTGCATAGGGCCTACCAGACCTTCAAATGAGCATCTCTACATGAAAGGGTCAAGCACAAACATGTTGAAAAGTTCTATCAACTCCGGTACACGATCAGACATGGAAACAGTGAAGTAGGCTTCAATAAACTAAATACTGATGAAGCAATATAAGTATTTTTCACTTACTGAAATACTACAATGTAAACTCTATTATCCAGAAATTACCCAAAACTCTATAACATCCAACACACATGTATGTATAAATTAGCACTAAGGTACAAAAAGTACTCAAATGTTTTCTAAACGAAAGGAAGATGAAAACATCTTAGGCATGGTTTTAATCTATTTTATTTTGCAAGTGATAATATCTGCATGGTATGTATGGTAACTTTCTGCTAACCAGAATAGCTGATTAGCCAAAATATTAAACATATATTAAGTCTAGACAAAACCAACAAACAAAACCTTTTCTGTGAAAATACAAATTTTTAAATATTATTTTCTTTAGCTCACATCAGGTATAGATACTTCTTTAGTATGACAGATGATAAATTTTTTTGAAAAAAAAAATTTAATTATACCCACGGACTAAAAATGGGCCCCAAATCTATAGTGCTGTAATAGACAACTGTTTGAGAATATTTATTTTTTTATTTTTAAAAAATTATTCTTTATTGTGAAATATACTTTTAGAATTAGTTTGAGCTGTAACACAGTGCAATAGTTATACTTTTTACCCCTCGAGGTGAGAACTCCCTTCCCCCAATCTGCCGCCCCACTTCGACCCCAATATCATACATATCTATTACAATTCCCTTGACTCCACTCGCACACTATACGCCACATCCCATGACTATATATATATTATATTCACTTATAGTTGACATACAACATTATACAACATCAGCTTCAGGTGTACAGTGCAGTGATGAAGCCTCTACCCCCTCCATGATGCGGTCTCCCGAGCAAGACATGTGACCACCTGACACCCTACAAAATATTTACAACATTATTAATTATATTCCTCGAACTGTCTTTCATGTCCCTGTGGCAATACTGTAGTTACGTATTTATGTTGTCTAACCCCTTCCCCTTCTCCCTCATCCCCACCCCCTCTCAACTAACAGCCATCAGTTGTTCCTCTATATCTCTGAGACCACTTCTGTTTACTTAGC